GTGTTACTGCCAGGCCAGGGAAACTTTTTTCCTCATCAGAACGCTGATTCGATCTGTGTGCTGCGAGTGCCGAGAGCTTTACCTGCACGAGTGCCGCAGCGCAACACCCGAAGAGAAACAAGCTGGACAAAACAGACTGTATATAGCTTGAGGCCCAAGGGTAGGCTTCTCGCCCTTGAAAGGCGGCTGACAGGGAGGATTGGGGAGGCAGGGTGAAAGCATTTAAAGGAAGTCTGTGGGTACTTGAAGCCAGGATGTTTACGGAGAGAAGCGGCCATCACGTGACGCCCTTCCAGAGAACAATAGCATGTGAACAAGCAGCAATGTTCTGAGATCGGTGTTACTGCCAGGCCAGGGAAACTTTTTCCTCATCCGAACGCTGATTCGATCTGTGTGCTGCGAGTGCCGAGAGAGCTTTACCTGCACGAGCGCCGCAGCGCAGCACCCGAAGAGAAAAAAGCTGGACAGGATAGACAGAGTGGACAAGATAGCGAAGGAGAAAGCGGTGACGATTTGACGACAAAGCCTCGGCGGGTAGGTCTCGGCCTGAAGCGCCCGGTGCCGACCTGACTGATCATGTCCTTGCAGAACAATGCGAGGTCGGCCGCTGAATTCAAACTTTGCGGCCAGCGCAAAGACGCTGAAGGTGTGCGAGGTGAACATTAGCAGGAACAAAACGTGTACGCTTCCGCCATGGCATCCCGTAAAAAACAGTAGTCGGTTACAGCGGTGTCAACGTCCGAAAGCCTCTGGAGCTGTTGCCAACACGGAAGTTTCCACAGCCGGCTGGTGTGGGGATTTTCGATGGTCAGTGGGATGCCTTGAGACCGAGCGAATCCAAAGAATCCAACAGACAGCGACGCCAGATAGTTGCCTTCTTCCACATGGGCCCGAGTCCGCGGAGACAGCCCTGGAACACCACATGGATGACGCGCAGTACGCCACCCTTCTCGATTTGCGGCCGAAAACGCGGTGCACGGAGTTCCCAGCCAGAGGGCCGCGATGAGGCCCGCCCGAATCCATCCCCGGATACGCTGACACAAACGCTTGTTGTTTAAGTCGTGGGAGGGGCCCGCTCGGATGTCAATCGAGAAGGCAGCGATCCCAGACGGAGACTTGCACGCGCGACAGGCTGCGCTCCAGCGAGCCTGCCCAGCGAAGAGCTCCAGGGCAAAACGGCCCCCGCGAGAAGCTGCTGCGCGAGGCGCGGCTGCAGGATCACTGAGCCAATGTGCTCCGCGCGGAAGTTGGCCGCCGGCCGCGCGCCCTGGTCGAGCCAGCGCACCTGCTCGTTGAGGCGCCCAGCTTTGACGCATCGGTGCAGCGAGGCGTCGGAATCCCAGCGCCCCCTCTTCTTCACGCCGAGCATGTCTCGACGTCCGGAGTGAATCTCGCGGGAGGCCCCCCGCGGCGCATCTGGCAGATCGTCAGGGGCAGGAGGGGGCCAAGAGGCAGCTCGTTCACAGCGGCCCGGAACTGGGCCGTCCACGTTGCGTAGCCCACGGCCGCGATCGGCTCCGCCAGTGGGCCGCGACCCCGCAGGTGCTCCAGCGCGATGTCGATCCACTTGAAGTCCGAGTTGTCGTTCATCAAGGACTCGTCGCGCGCGTGCGTCTTGCTCGGGATCTCCCCTTCCAGGGGGTTCAGTAGGGCCCCCCAGTGACGGAGTCGTAGAGGACCGCGAGGGACTGGGGGGATCAAATCCTGCCGGCGAGCCCGCAGGAGCTCCGACGGCCGGCAGTAGAACACGAAGTTGCGGAGCGTCAGCCAGCCGGAGCCCACGTTCCCGCAGGCGATCATCTTCGCGATCACGAGCGCCGCGACGACCCACGGCATGGGCAACCGGGCCCGCTTCGGAGCATGGCGGCCGAAACCCCGCAGGGCGGCCCGCGCCCGAGGAAACTCCGGAATCTTCCGCGACAGTCGGTAGGACTCCAGGTGGGCCAGGGCAGCCAACAGAGCTGAGGCCCGATCGACGACCTCGCCGTTGAAGAAGAGGTCGTTGAAGTACTGGACCAGGCCGACGTCGAGCTGCCGCAGGGTGTCCTGGGCGATCCCCATGACCAGGCACCAGCCCTTGAAGCCGTTCACCATCGTGATGTATCTCATCCGCTGCTGAGGCTTGATCACACTGTGCTCGAGGAGCGAGGCCCCAGTCTGCGGGCCCACAGGCGCGGGTGCGGGGTGGGCCCGTCGCCGGGCGGCGCTGCGATCGGCCCGACGGGCCCCCTCCAGCGCTGGCCGATCCAAGAGGGTCCGGGACGGCTGGCTGGGGCGCGAGGCCGCCGCGGGTCGCCTGCGCGGGGCGGCCCTCGCTGACTGGGGAGCCCCCGTCTGGCGAGGCAGCATCAGTGACGCCGAAGGCGCTGGCAAGCACTCGGCCGGCGGCCCTGACCCGCCGCTCGCGGGCATCAGAGCCCCGCCAGGCAACCTGAGCATCGGCCGCGGTGTCGCGGGCGGGCGCGCTGGAGGCGCACGGCAGCTCGAGGCCCGGCGGAGGCGGGATAGTCGAGGTGGAAGTCGCGAGTAATGTCGAAGAGGCTGCTCGAGCCGAGGCAGCGGCTACAGCAAAACGTTCCCCACGAGACCCAGGATCCCCTGCGTTGTGTTCCGACGGGACCCATCTCCAGGCACGGCAGGAGAACGCAGCCAAAGCCAGAGCGCCGCGTTGACGACATACTCGCAACATCAACCTCGTAGAGGATCGGCCCTTGGTAACCGCGAGGATGTGCGCCATGGAGTCCCCGAGGTGGAGGTGCCTTCGGCCGAAGCTCTGGAGTGCTCGGACCTTCCGCTTCACGCCCCAGACCATCGCTCTGCCCTCAAGACACACCTGGGGTTCGGAGCGCCGCCAGGCTCTAGATTCTGCGAGGGCCCAGGGGGCATCCCACAGAGCCTCAGGGACGGTGGGCACAGAACCCAAAGGGATATCAGGGGGGGGTCCCGATGGTGACCTCCATGGCGCTGCGCGAGGAGCACCGAGTCCCGCGCGTTGAAAGCCTTCTCCCCAGACTGAGTAAACCTCCAGCGCTCATTGAAGGACCCCAAGGACGCAATGTCTAGATTCGATGCCACATAAGAACAACCATCCACCACCGTGACTTCAGGGCCCCATTCAGCCCCAAGATCGCGATACGCCAAGACAATAAGATGACTAGCCCAACCCAGCTCACGAAGGACAGACGGCCAGATCTTTCCAGCACGGTCACCGGCATGCTCGACGAAAGCGTAGGTAGCATTAAAGACACAAAGAAGTTCACGACGAATGAGGCACCTAGTAGTGTCGTGGGACAACAAAATTGCCAAAGTACGTCCGGATGCAAACCGACGACGACAGAGCTCGATGTAGGCGAGGCGGATTGTCCAACACATGATCGGATTCACCCCCACCTCGGCGAAATCTGCCGAGAACTGCCAGCCCAGCGTAGTGCCGCCGACTGAAGACTCGCATGGGTGGACGGGCAGCGGCGCAGATGCTATTTGTTGCGAGACCTTGTCCGCAGCTGCTTGCACATCAGAGAGAGATTGACTCAGGGCGACGGAAATGTCCACATATTCTGAATGGATGAGCGGACGAAGAGGAGGAGCCGGTCTCCCGTTAAAGAGAGCATTATGTAAATCGAGGCCAGGAACGCGCCGAGAATGCAATTCAAGAACTTGCTGCATTATCCAGAGTGACAGTTTCCATCCCATAGGAATCGCAACAACGGTGGGCATGATGAACGTCGACGAGCCCACCGGTTGACCACAGACGCTGGCGACCCCCACGATCCCCGCCCGTGCCTTGGAAAGACCGAAGTAGCCCCGAAGAGACGGTGGAAGGGCCAGATTATAAAACGCGCTGGCAACATCAACCCCTCCAACGCAGATAGGCTCGCTGGCGTCGACCTGGATGCCCGCGAGCGAGGCGCCACTGGCAAGGTGCACGGGGTCTGAATCAGAAAAACCAACAACTCGCCCAGCTCCCATCTATAATGACTCTCAGCTTCCCCGACTTCTTAAAGACGGCGAAAAGTCCCACAGACCCCTTGCACCCTGACCTCCACTCAATGAGACCGGCTTCGCACAAACTACTTAATACAGACGCGCGCAGGCGAAGGGGTCGCCGGAGTGCTGGATCTGCGCACGCTCTAGCCGGGGCCTCGCGTTGAAGCCGCTCGGTCGCCGGGGGCCCAGGAGGAAGTTTCGGCGAGCAAACTGTATCAGCCAAAATTTCACCCGCAGGACGCCCCAACAGCTCCAAAGGACGAGGGGGGCTGCCCGGGACAGGGGGATCCAAGAGGCAGACAGATGCTGGGCTGATCGGCGCAACGGTGGCGGGCTCACCATCGCAGGCGCGCCGGGCGCAGACCTCTCGCAAGGCGCCCGCGCCGTGGAGTCCGTCGGGCGGGGGGCCGATCCTGCGCGCAGCCAGACGAATTCGCCTGACAGCCTCGTCTTGGGCAGCAGCGGGTGGCTGGGCCCCTTCGCGAGACGCAGACCCCTGAAATAAATCATTTAAACCGCGGGCGATGTCCGCGCGAACCGATCACTGTGACCGGACCGTTCAAGACGCCGCCGACTAGCCGTGGACAGATCCGATGAGGAGCCCCTCGGGAGAAGGGAGACGGGAGGGAGAGAAAGAGGTAAGAGGTCACGCGAGCGACAGTCAGGCGCGACAAGCCCCCCCCTGCGCGTAGCGACCCAGGCCGGGGGGAGGTCCTGGGTCGAGGAATTCAGGCGTCATTGCTTCTTGAGGAGCGCGGCCCGCTCCTCCTTGGCTTTTCTGACCTGCTTCAAGATCGCGGCGTCTTTCTGGACTTCGGCTGAGACGTGGTCAAGAGCGCCGGACAGACCATCGCGGTGCCCGTGTCCTTGTTGAAGCCAGAGAAGATCGCCGACTCGTCCATGAGGCCGCTGAACGAGACCGACGGCTTGCTGGCGCCTTTGCCCTTGTCGGCGTTGCCGAGCGAGCCCATCCAGTAGACATGCTCAGTGAGCTGGGTTTTTCTCATGATCACCTCGACGCCTGCCAAGTTCGAAGCGTCGGTTCCGTCGAAGCAGATGAGCTCGTCCAGCGCTCGGAGCGCCGTCCCATGCTGCTCTACGCCCCACTGATCAGACTTCAGGTTGAGCGTCGAAGTGAACCTGCGGTGGTGCGACAGGGGAGCGCTGGAACGGCGCTCTAACCATACAACGCACCAGTGCACAGTCCGCGGCCCAGGGATCGGCCAATTGCTCACCACGCTCTCGGTCATGTCCCTGACTGCCTCTGCATACCTTCGGCGAGGGCGAGGGTCACAGTGGTGGGCCAGCTTCAGGATGCGTGGATCGTGAACAGCTTCCAGGACCTTGTAAACTCCCTCATCGAGATCATGGATGTTACGAGCAACCACCGCGCCATGACCAGGAGGGGTGAAGACGGCAAGGTCCCCGGAGATCTGCGCGTTGGCCGTGAGCTGGATCACCACCCCGCGGGCGTTGAAATCCGTGCTTTCGACCGTGACCCACTTGTCCGGCACAGCAGCGGCCGCGCCGCCGAGGGGAGCCGCTGCGACTCCACAGGGGCAGCAGCCTCCAGCGCGTCAGCAGCGGGCCCGTCGCCGTCCAAGAACTCCGACAGAGGCTGGAGGCAGCCCTGCGGGTTCGGCACGAAAGGCACCCCCGCCAGCATCGCCTCGTTGGCGAGGATGTCCTGGCACACCTGCTCGGCCGCGACGTTGAAAACCACCAGCTCCACTGCCGTCGGGTCCCGACGGAAGCGGTGCGTCTGGCCGCGGTCCAGGCCAGGAGGGATAGCCCGGGCAGCCGCCATCCTGACACCTTGGATGTCCGCGCTGTTGCCCGCGTAGTCCTCGTCGTACACGTCTGACTGGGGCTTCGCGATGATGAGCCGGAGCGGCTCAGTCGGACGAGTTGCCGATGGCCGCAAGCGCCCCAGCACCTTCCGCTGGTGCCAGAGCGGCGCGCCGGCGTATTGCACCCACGCCCACGGGAGCACCTGGTTGACCGCCATGGTGCGACACCGGCCCAGACGCGGGGCCGACGCGGCGCGATCGAGCTCGGCACGATGCGCACAGGCAGGGTCCCGCCACGGCGCCGATCAGGCACCCGACGAGGAGGGGGGCTCCTACGAGCAGCGGGCCGAGCCACCCAAGCCCGGCAGGCGGCGGGGTGTCAGCCACCGCCGGAGGCTCCGCCGAGCAGGACGGAGCGGGGGCCCCCGGGCAGGCCGGGATGGCCGGGCACGTCGGACACGGCAAGCACGGGCACGAAGGGCAGGGCGGCGCTGCAGGGCACCGGTTCAGCCACGCGACCGATGCCTGGGACGCGTATCCGAGATAGGGGGCGATTGCGTTGAGCATAGGGAAAAAGAGGGGCTGGAATTGTTGCTTGAAGCCAGGATGTTTACGGAGAGAAGCGGCCTTCACGTGACGCCCTTCCAGAGAACAATAGCATGTGAACAAGCATCAATATATGTATACATACATATATATATATACATATATATATAGTGCACCGAGCGCACGGGTCGCCCACTGGGCGTCCACAGACGGCCAACACCTGGGAATCCGGGCACCAGGCGAAGCCCCGGCGCACCCAGGCAAGCGCACGGGGCGCGCCCACGGGCGGCCACCTACACCCACTAAACTGTGGAGTCACGTGCCTGAAACAAGTAAGAACCCCTCATTAAGTGCAAGCACCTCTTGGGAAACAGGTCGACCACACATGGTGAACAATGCTTTATAAGAGCGAACACTATACGCAGATCATCACCGCACACTGTCCAATCATCACAGCTCACCATTGCCCACCAATGCTCACCGCATCCACTTCAGACCCATCCCCGCACATCAACCAATCATCACACCACATCCGACGCAAAACCGACTGCAAACCAAGAACTTCACCCCTCCCGCTAAAGGGTGGAACTCTCTTCGAGCACCACGCTTCCTCGAGAATGCATCTGAAATCTCCACCTCGAGACGGTGTCACGGATGTGATCACTTCCTGCTCCCACTGGACTTCGAGCAGAGGAAGGCGGGAGCACGTGATAACAAGCAGAGACACGATCGACAGAATCGTCTTGACCCCGATGGGGGCCGAATCTCCTCAACGGAATTGTCTCCAGGAACTGAGGCACTCTTGAAACTGTGCACGAGATCTTCTCGAGACGACAGCGCTAAAAAAAGCCAGCCCCAATCCATGAGGGCCAAGCCGAGTCGATCGATACTGCGCGAGACAGGCGCGGCGACCCGCGCCATGCCGGAGGCTGGGGACGAAGGCCCCGGCCGGCTGAGGCCCCGTGGCGGTGACGACGAGCCCGAGTGCAGGGGGTCCGGCGCCAGCGTCGGCGGTCCGAAGCGGCCCGAGCCCGCCGCCGACGGCGGTGCACCTGTCCGAGCGGGCTGCCGCGGCGGCGGCGGCGCTCCGCAGTGACCGAGGTCCGGCGCCGGGGGGGCGGGCCCGGGCCTGGCGGGGCCGCGGAGGGGCAACGCCGCACCGGGGGCGACGGAGTCGGGCGCGGGCGGCACGGGCCCGGGCCGCGACACGCCAGCTGGAGAGGACGAGGGGCCGGGCCGCGCCATCGAGCGCGAGGGTGGCGAGGGCCCTGGATGGACGCGGTCGGGCGGGGGCGTGGCCGAGCCCGAGCGCACGGTGCTTCTGGCCGGCGGTGGGGGGCCCAGGCTCGTCGTGTCCAGCGCAGGCGGCGGCGGGCCCGTGCGCGCCATGCCGGAGGGCGCTGGGGCTGGCCCGGGCTGCCCAGGGCTTCGCGTGGGCAACGACGGGCCAGGGTTCAGGGGATCGGGCGCGGGCGAGGACGCGCCGAGGCGGGCGCGGGATCGCAACGGCGGCGAGGCGCCAGGCTGCGCGGCGTCCAGCGCAGGCGCGGCGAGCCCCAGGCGTGCGAGGCTCCGCGACGGCGGGCTGGGGCCGGGGTGCAGGAGGTCGAGGGCAGGGGGCGAGGGGCCTGGCCGGGAGCAGCCCACGGGCGGCATCAAAGGGGCCATGCGGTTGAGAGATCGCAGGGACAGCGGGGATCCAGGATGCAGGGAGTCGAGCACTGACACGGCGGGGCCTGGCCGGCAGAAGCTGCGCGACAGAGGCGCCGAGCCAGAGTGCACGGGGTCCAGGGCGGGCAGCGGCGGTCCGAAGCGGACCCTGCCAAGGACGCTCAGCGAGCCCGTGAAGGTCGCACTCGCGATGAGCAGGTCGCCATATGTGGACGGGCACGGGCCCAAGCGCCCGGGACCTCGCGGCGGCGGCGGCGGACCCGGCGTCAGGAGGTCCGGCGCAGGCGCCGCCGGCCCTGGGCGCGCGGGGCTGCGCGGCGGCAGCGGGGGCCCCAGGTGGCCAAGGTCCGGCGGCGGCGGGGGCGGCCCTGGGCGTGCGGCGCCTGCCGCCAGCGGCGCAGAGCCCAGGCGCGCGAGGCTGCGGGTTGGCGAGGACGAGCCCGCGTGCGCGGGGTCCGGCGCTGGCAGGGGGGGGCCCGTCCGGCCAATGCCAGAGGGCGGCATCGCCGGGCCGGGGCGACCGAGGCTCCGCGGCGGGGGCGGGGGCCCGGGGTGCAGGGGGTCCGGGGCGGGCACCGCTGGGCCCGGGCGAGCAGGGCTCCGCGGAGAGGTCGGCAAGCCTCGCCGGCGGTGCTGGCGGGAGGGAGGGGGGGAGTGCATGGGAGGAACCCAGACCCCCTCGCGTTTTGAGCAAAAACGTTGTGGAAAAGTTTTGGTCCTGCTCGGCCTTTGGGGCCCTCGCAAGGTCCCAGGATCGTCAGAGACGGCTCCGCAGAGCAGACCAAAAAAAACTGCCCCGAGGAAGGGGTCGGAACATCCAGTCGTTCCACGCTGCGGGGAAAGCCACGGCGTCGGGGGTCTGGGAGGCAGAACAGGGAAGGAAGGGCGGGAGCAACGAAGCTGAGGCTGGACACAGGATAGGGGGCAAGTGAAGAGACCCGTACATCCGCCTATCTGATTTTTTCAATCCGCTGCTATAGCCCCGGGGGTGCTCCTTCGTCCCGGATCCATTTTTGATGGCCCCTGGGCCCGACAACGGGCCCCTGAGGCCGAAATCCAGGAAATTACCGCCGGATCGAAAAAAAAAAAAAAAAAAAAAAAAAATCCTCGGATCCCTGGGGACGAGGACGCGAGGTGGGAGGGACGAGGAGGCAGGGACGAGGGAGGAGCGAGGGGCGAGGCAGGAGCGGCGAGGGCGCATGGGACGGGGCGGGAGGCGCGTGGGGGCGCGGCCCGTCCCTCCTGCAAGGGCGGAGTCCGGCGCGGGCGGCGGGGGGCCCGTGCGGGCCATCCTGGCGCCCGCCCGCTGGTGGAGCCAGGACGACGACGACGACGACGACGACGACGACGACGACGACGACGACGACGACGACGACGACGGCGGCGGCGGCGGCGGCGGCGGCGGCGGCGGCGGCGACGGCGACGGCGACGGCGACGGCGACGGCGACGGCGACGGCGACGGCGACGAGAAGGATGACGACGACGACGACGACGACGACGACGAACGACGACGACGACGACCACGCTCTCTCTCTCTCTCTCTTTCTCTGTCCCTCTCTCTCTCTCTGCGCTTACTCCGAATTGCATGACAAAAGGGGGCGGTCACAACCCTCCGAGACGAGCACGAACGACGACGACGACCGCGCTCTCTCTCTCTCTCTCTCTGCGCTTACTCCGAATTTCATGGCAACAGGGGGCGGTCACAACCCTCCGAGACGAGGAGTTTCAAACATCCCAGACCAGCCATAAAAGGGCGGCCTCTTGTCCAGGCTCCCCGGGACCTCCAAGACAGCTCCAGGCAAACCCCCCCCCAAACAAAAAATCAGACCACCCCCCTTTCACGGTGAAATCCGGAATAGCCTGCTCGCCACTGGCATCTGCACTCATCCTGCCATCACCTGATCGCGCCCCCAATCAAGAGCCTTCCCTCCTGCCTCGTCCACTACCCGCCCCCTTCTCTACCGTCGAGCTGCTGGAATAAGGAACGCTAGGTCCGGAACAAATTCCTCTCTGGCACAAGAAGAGCCCGGATGCACGAGAGGCTAGAGGAACAACTGCAGAATGACGCAAGGAACAGCGAGCCCCTTCGGAACCCAAAGCGGCCACTGTTTCAGCGTCCTGGCTGTAGGTCACCCAACGTCGCGCACCGGGCCCCGCGATGCGCGACGCACCAGGACCTTCGCGTTCCGTCGCGCCCGAGCGCCGCCCCCCCCCGGGGGAAGGGCAGCTGCGGTGACCCAGACCTCGGGGCTAGGCAAGACTTGATCTTCGCGCCCCGGCGGGTGACCCAGGCTCCTCCATGTTCCTGCCCCTTCCCGCTATTCCCACCCTCCCCTCCGCAGCCCGCGCACTACCATGCACCATCTCCTGCGCGGTGCCAGGGTCTCCGACGCCTCGTGCTCGTTGCTCTTGGCCCGTCTTGACATGAGCCGCCAGATCTCTTGACCCATTCCCTGGGAACTCGACACGCTGCCATCCCAAATCGGGCTTGACCACAGCACGCGACCAGAAATGCATCAACACAAACTTCCGGAGCTCCGCGTGGATCTCTGGGATCGGAGCTGGACCCCGTGCCAGGAAGGGACCAGTCCAGAGCCGATCCAAGAAATGGACGCGAAACTCCAAAAGGCTGTGTTTATGCTGTCTGTTCGTCTTCGAGTTACGTTTGCTCCCAGAGCATGCTGTGAGCATTCTGTGGGAGGCCCGTCGGCCCTCCATCGCGACTCAGCCGCCTATGCCATCTGGGCCTGGCACCGTGAGGATGACTGCTGGCCTCTCGGCAAACAGCCGCGCTGCCCCGGTGCAGGCGAAACAGGAGGAGGAGGAGGAGGAGGAGGAGGAGTATAACGAGGAGGAAGAAGGAGAGATTCTGCCACGGCTCTGCGCAGTGCTCCCGAGAAGGGCCGGCGCGGCCGCCGTCGAGCCCGACACCTGGAGACCCCGCGAGGGGCAGCAGGGGGGGGGCTCGGCACAGTCGAGCACACGTGCCCAGCTGCGTCCT